CAGCTTGCCCTTAAGATAAAGAACCATCAGCTTGCTGTCCTAGGAAGAGCTGCTAACATGCAAGAAGCAAATCTCTAGCTTCCTGGAAAAGAAGAATAGTTTGCATCTTTCTCTTCCTTACTCCTCAAGGAGCAGGCTCCCTGCACGTACGTGGAGCAGCGCCATAGCATCACCTCCCCGGTCACAACTAAGCAGCCATTCCTGAGGTGCTGTAAGAAAGGAGCCTATTTACTGCTCCTTTGAACCCGAAATGAAGAATGAGTTCTGCACAATGCTCTCAAGGAGCTGCCTACAGACATGAAGGCTGCTCTTCTCCCTACTCCTTGCTCTGCCAGGTGACACGGAGAGGGCAGCAAAGTAACTAAGGCACCCTACATCTCCTGCGTCATTGGGCAGGTAGTAGCAGAAGATCCACTATAAGAAGGAAAGGAACAGACTTTGCAGCAGGGTCTGCAGTAACAGGACAAGGGGAAATGGTTTCAAACTAAAATGGGAAATTTAGACTGGATATAAGGAGAAGTATTTTACAGTAACAGCAATAATGTGCTGGCGTAGGTTCCCAGAGAGGTGGTGGAGGCCCCATCCACGGAGATATCCAAGGTCAGGCTGGATGGGCTCTAAGCACCTGATGGAGCTGTAGGCGCCCCTGTTCATTGCAGGGTAGTTAGACTAGATGGCCTTTAAGGGCCCCTTCCAATTCAAATGATTCTGTGATTTTCCTCTGTAGCTTGCACAGCCTGTGTATAGGACCAGAAGATTAGAAACCCCATTTTGCAGAGGACTGAGGTTGTTATCACATCTTCTATAAGCTCAACCAGGAGGGCTGCACAGAGCCAAGAACAGACCGCAGGATTCTGATGTGCCAAGTTACCAGCTCTCTATTAGGCTAAACTGTCCGACAAGCGCAAAGTGTCTCAGAGCACAATTTTTGGGCACAGAACAGGAACTGCACAGAGCAGAGCATCTGTGCTGGCTCCATATGCTGGGCTCAGCCTGCTCTGACTCTGCCTGCTCATCTGCACCCTCCCTTATTCCCAAAGGGTTCTCTCCAACCAAGAACCACTGTGAATTTTGGAAAGATTTCCATCCCATGGGTATTTCATACACATTTTTAACTTTACACATGTTTCTGAAAGAAAAAAAAAAAAGCAGTGAATGTCTTGCAATGACAAATAACGTATGCCGTGACAACAGAAAATATGCAGTATCTTATTAACAGAAGCTGTACAACTAGTCTGTTAGAGGGACTGAGTCAAAGTGCCAATTTTGTAATGCTGTTTACCAAAAATCAAACAGGCATTCTGCAGTCCACCTGTTCCTAGTGCCGTTGAATTCATGATAGCCATTTTCTGAAGCCAGAGAAATAATTGCTAGACCACTTTATGGATGGCAGCTGGTTTGGAATGAGAAATGTGCAATAATTAAAGACTGTAAGGAATGTAAGCTATTAAAAGGGCAAAGGAAGTAAAAAAAAAAAAACAAGTCCAGAATGGGCAAATGGACACCTTCCATACAAGCAAAAACCTCTTCTCTTCCACTGTATTCGGTTCACTCACAGGAAAGCCAGTAAACGTGCAGAGGGGAAAAAGCCAACAAGTCAAACTTCTGCAAGTATGTTCTTCGTCCAGGAACTATAGCTCAGTCCTTGTCACTAGCATGAGATGCTAGAGTTAAGCAATGGCCTAGAGACCAACCTCTGCCAGATGCTTCAAAAGGCCCCATAACAACCCGTAATGGAGTATTATGCAGTAGTACGTGTAAGGGAGGACTTGTGCTGAGCGTGTGCACAGAAGTACAGAAGATGAAACTCCAGCCCATCTAACTGGAGATGATATTTCCAGTCATATAAACAACGCCAATCTGTCGGTCTCAATGTTCTACCTTGTGGCAATGAGTCCCACAGGCTAATTAAAACTAAGGTTAAAAGTGGTTCCTATTAAAGCTGTTCAATGTGTTTACTTTGATTTTAATTTGATGTCTCTTTCTTATCCAACAGAGGAAAGAGTCATGGCGCTGCCATTTTATTTATATCCATCACAGCGTGTCTCTCAGTGGCACAACTCATGTATTGTATTCCCTAAAATAAACAGACCTAACCTTTGCAGTCTCAGCCTGCATGCAAATCTTCCCTGAAGTATTTTCCATGCTTCTGATTAGGTTTGTTGCCCTTCACTGAACCTCTTCTATTTCCTGCTCTATCCTTTTTTAATTAGGGTAACCAAACTAAACATACCTCTCAAGGTGAGGCCACATCACCATCATCTAGAACAACACTGTCATATTTTCAGTGTTGTCCTCCATTCAGCAAATTAATGTCATGCCATTTAATATTTATGCTTTCTTGATCACTGCTCAGACACGAGCAGATGTTTTCCATTGAGCTCTCAAGATCTTTTTCTGATTTGCAACTTACCCCATTAGAAGAGCAATTGTACCACCCAATTAATAGTAACTTCACTCGCATCAATTTTTTCCTATCAGCATTTTGATGAATAATAAAGCTTCAGTAAATGTGAAGGAAACCCTTAACCATGTTTAGATTTGATTAAATTTTGGAGCATCAGATTTCACCCATTTGTGGGCACAGGCACATTGGTGCCTGATAAATAAACAAATGATCATATAGTGATTACTCAGCATCTTTACAGAGATGATTTTTAAAGAATTCATGTTTTCAAGAATAACTTATTTTTAAACTTTTTTTTTTTTTTTTTTTAAATCTCAAACCTTATCTTTCTTTTCCTACACTATAAGCATATAGAGAGGAATGGAGGGAAGGAGCCTCTGTCTCTTCTCAGAGTGTGCTCACATGCCCAGCACCAAGCCAAGCAAACCCACTTCCTCTGCTTGTAACATAATTTTCAAGAAAGGTAAACATGACAAGCTTCAAAGGCATTCTAAACAAAACTGCGCCAGTAAAAGCTTTGTCGACCTATGTAGCACACACTTCCATAGTCTAAGAAGAGAAATACCCCTCTCAGAGAAATTCAGACCACATGTGGTTTTCTGAATGCAGAATGTCTTTTTATAATGATATATTCATGCTCACTGCCATTCTTCACAGACTTCCTATAGAGTGGATGCTGTTCCCTCAAAAAATGTGTTGAATTACTTCAGCAAGAATCAAGTTTCTGAACATCCACAAGAGGAAGAAGAAAGATGAAGGGAATCTTCAGCAGTTTCACATCTAGATAGAAGTCCCTTTTCCAAGGATTTAGGTAAGATATGTTCCTACCAGAGAATTATTCCCAAATTCTCAGCAGTGGCCTCCTGCAGTCACAGACAGGAACAGACATTTTACTCTTCAGATACCTGAAGAGCTCATCTCACATCACCACTTGGTACTGCAGCCTTTGGAATTGCCTTCTGAGATGTCATTAATTACAGAAGCTGATTTTATGTAGATTTACTTATTTATTTCCCTCAGCATATGACACACCAACCCATCACAGGTTATTTATTTTCGTTGAGAACTTGTGTATAATATATAACAGTCCAGAAGCATAACTAGGTGTTATTTGAAAAAGCCGTGTTTCTGCTAGAAAGGAAAAATCATCACATTTTCCAGAGGTCAGCTTTCTGGAAAAGAAAAATAGCTACTTTCCTTTTAGGAAAAAAACAAAAAACAAAAAACAATGGTTTCTACCTCAGCTGAAAATTCCCATCTGCTGTGGGCTCTCTGACTCATCGCCTTATTAGCAAAATTGTCTGAAAGCAGCATAAATCCGACTTACTCAAAAACCAAATCTGCAGTTAGACAAAAAAAAGGAAATCACAGATTGCCACTCCCCCCTAAATCACACTCTTTCACTGCCATCAGTTCAACAGCACCAGCAGCTATTAGCACAGCTGGACAGACGTTCCTCCAAACCACGTGCAGGATTTTCCCCTTGGCCAGGAGGTTTTTGGCCAGCACCAGCCCTGAGATCTGGGTTTCTCTCCCCAGCAGGCAGGCTGTCCGTGGCCATAATTTCCGGCTGGTGGGGTTTTATGTTGCAATTCCCTTTTGGCCATCTGTACAGAGAAGCCCCATTTGTTTTGCTTTTGCCTCTGCCTCTCTTTATCTTTGGAATATAATGCACTGTCAGGGCCACGCTTTGGTTTGTATCTTTTAACAGCCATCACCGCTCAGCAGCCCGCTCTCTGCTTCTCATTTAATGGCACATTTCTCCTCTGCTTTACACAAAGCCATTACCACTTGGCTGACCAACACTACACACTTTTGGGGTCAGGTGTGGCATTGTCAGCTTGCTGGGGTTAATTTTTCAGTTGCTTGTTGCTGGTACTTAGCCACACTCTCTTAGTAAATCATCAGACATAATGGAGGAGGGTTTCTGGGGAGGACAATGGAGGCATACTTTACAGGCTACGTTTATTGCTTTTTTTTTTTCCTCTCCATCCAAGCCTGTCATCTGGAGAGGCGGTGCATCCTGATCCCTACCAATGCAAGATCAAAGCCTTTTGGAGCTGTCAGAACTCTGAGCTTGTTGTTATCCGTATTTACACGTGTTTATTTTTAGTATTATTATTAAGTCATCTTGGCAGCTCTTGAGCAGCCACATGGGCAAGGACCCTATCTATAACAGTGCACAAATACAAACCACAGCGATATCTCTTTGAAAAGCATACAGCCTCAGGAGAAGCCAGCAACAGAGAACGTGCTTAAATGCTGGACTTCATCCAGGTTACTTCTGTGTAAACAGGGATGTGCTCCACAGGTCAGGTCATGGCTGGAGTTCAGGGCCCTACTTCTTTCATGATGAGACCAAATGAGGCAGCTGGATGTCTGAGAAACTGGCTGCCAGACCCACTGCACCTTGTTTCCAGCAATATTCAAAGCGGGCTGCACGAAGCTGCAGCACCCCAGTAACATTCACACATGCTCCAGGGCACAGGGAAGGACCATCAGGTTGCTCATAACAACTTACTCCACCATCAGTCCAATTCATCACTCCTTGAGTTGCTCAATTCCCCCAAAATCAGCAGAAGTGCTGTAATACCTGAAGACTTTGGGACATCTCAGGAGCAGTCAAGATGTGATATCCGTCTGTCCAGAGCCACAGTGCTCACAAGCTCAGAGGTCAGCCAGCAACCATTTCTGTGACAAACGACATCAAAAGACATCAGAGCCAAATGCAGTTGGAGTTTCACAGTTGTTCCCATTGCACTTATTCAGATTTTGTTTAGCTCATTTAGGCAACAACAGCTGGGAGCAGTATTTCCTTCAAATTATAGAAAGATTTAGTGTTATCTTAATGCAATACAAGTGTAGCCTGAATTATATTTATGAGGAAGCACAATATGTGCTAATGAATAATAAAGACTTAGTACAAGGGTATTAGCCTTCTCTGACTGATGCTGCTTAAGCCAGTTCTCACCTTTTAACGGTCAGTAACTCACCATGACACTGTCACTCATCAGCCTGCTCCCAGGAGAGAGAGTTGGACGTGTCCTTCCTTTAGTATAGTTTCAGCTGTACCAGATGCGACAGAGTTGAGCTGGAGGAGAGCTGGGCTTCCCTTTCTGCAGTCCTGCAAGGCATCTTCAGCAAAGCCAGCTCTGATAAAACCGGGTGTTTCCACATCCATCACGTGAAAATCAGCAACAACGCAGAGTTTGGCACAAAGTTCATTCCAAAAGCTGGCAGCAGTTCCATGATGTAGTCCTTACTTCGTCCTTGTTGGTTTGTCCATCTGCAATATAAAGAGGCGTTCTCTGGAATATATGACACCTATATCACTGCTACAGGCACAGGAGTGGTAGGAAATAGAAGTGTAGAGCAGCCAACAGTAAACAATCAGCTGCAATCAAGAACGGCACCAGTATAGTTTGCTGACTATCTAAATTAGTTGGGGGCATCTAAGAAAATCCTTGACACATATCACAGCCACCAAAGGCACACAAGTTCTTATGCAAAGAGGAACATTTTTATAAAGATGCTACATAAAAACATCCATAAAAATAGCAGAGAAAGTGAAGTGCTAATGGATGTTCCTCTCTCTCTGTATTATTTATCTTCCACAAAAATACTACATAACCATGCTTTCTCCACAGATGGAGACAAAAATAACATATTTGACTTGTCTGTTTAGGAAATAGTGACATGTGTCAACCAAATTATTTCAACACAGGATTCTTCAGTTTCAGCAACTGTCAGAGGGCTCCCTCCACTGAAAATAATCAATGCCTTTGACAGACAAAGAGAAGTAATACAGTAATTCATTTGATACAACTTGACAGCTTTTTTGACAGTATTTTGCACTGTCAGTCCATAGGATTTGAATTTTAACTGGGGCCAGTGAGAAATATGCTTTTGGTCTTTAGCTGAGTCTCTGCAAACCAAAAGGGCAGCAGGAGAGCAGTACTTACCTACTTTTTATTCACCATTACCTATCACTCTTCATTTTTAATTACTCATTTTTAATACCTTTCCCCATTTTTATACTCTTGAGATGTCATAATAGTGGACATTTAAACTGTACTTTGCTGCTCCCTTGGCAAGAAGGGACATTTCATGCAGCTAGTCTTGGAAACAGAGCTATTTTCTAATGTCACTATGTTCAGATTGACAGTTCAGTTCCATCAAGAGCTCATCTGTTCTGCTCTTATGAGACTGTAGAAACTTAAAAGAAGTTATTAATATAGATTATGAAATATTCAAACACTTGTCCATGGAGGAACTTGTGGGGCTATAGAGTGCTTCATTAAAATTCTTTCTACAAAACATTTCTTTCCACTTAAAAAAAAAAAAAAATTAAAAAAAAAAAATCAACAAAGTATCTGGATCTGAAGAATTCTCACAGAGCAGGAACAAGGCATTGAAGTAATCACCTAAGTTACAACTGCTGCAAACGACCACTGCCTCATCAAATGGGTCAGGAGCTGTAGGCTTGCCCTTGCTGAACACTGCCCTGAGACAAAGAGGAAGCATGAGTAGGGTGAAAGGGGCAGAACGAAATTCCTTGTTATTCTGTATTTTGATAATTACTTCTTGCACTAATTAGCATTTTGAACAACATCTCCCACCAAGAGCTCAGGCAGAACTTGCTAGTTCTGATCTCAACTGTTCATTTCCATGAACATAGTCATCATATCACTATTTTGTCTTTGATCTGAATGTGTGACCTTGTAGGGCTTGGTATCTAAATATTTATTTGTTTCCAAAACTAAATTCAAAACATGATGTGTAAAAATTCCCTTTGGGATAACAATGCTGAAAGAGACAGGGCTGTGAGATGACTGAAGGTACAAAGGTGCAGGAAATAAAAGGACTTGTATTCCTAACTCATCATCCATATGCTGCTTGAGACAAGAATTGCATCCTGGCTTTTGATGTATTGTTGTTGTATATGTTGAGAGCTCGGTTATGTTTAAATGTAGTACTTCAGCTCCTTTGCTTAACAACACCTGATAACTTGCTTGACATCTCAAAGAGTTTCTTAAAATATTCTTAAACCTTTGGCATCTCTTCCTGCCCGGGGCTTCATGAATAAAACATTTATCCAGTCAGCAGCTTTTGCAAAGAGGAACAGCCAAGTTCCATCCATCAATGTCAGCAGCTGAATTACTGAGTGATTTCAGATCCTTTAATAACTCTGTTTCTTTATGACTATGTTGGTAAACAATCAAGTAGTGCTGGCACCTGGTTTTCAGTGAGCATTAATTTTTTTGCGTTATCAAATACTAATAATACAACTCGTCACTCTTATTGTTGTTATTTCAATAAAAAGAGTCTGCAACACCATTCACCTCTGTGAGAATGCACTGAGGTTTATTCTTGATTTGCTATGAAGGTCACTGCAAGCTACTTGCATTAAACCTGCTGGGACTTTTTTTTTTTTTTTTTTTTTTTTTAAAGCAAGGATAAATAGAGCCTTTACTTCACATATAATGTGCTTCATTTATCATTGGGATCACCAAGTAGTAATACACTGCCCTTTTGTAAGGTTGTTAATAGAAACTAAGCATTTTGAGAGAAAAAAAACAATGATACAAAGCTTCTGTTGTTGTGGAAGTCCAATGAAGATTGGAGTTCTAAGTACTGTAAGGAAATTGCCTACGGGGATTCAAAAGGAGGGTCCTGGACTGAGGATGGGAAGGGAAAGAAAATCAGAGCTTTCTGAATTCAAAATCTAGCCAGAACATGTCCGAGCACATTTGGTTTGATTTAAATGGATATTTGAGATAAACATCTTTCCCCAGCACTTCCCATGGGCACAGCACTAGGAAGAGCTTTTGCACATCTTGGATAAGTGCTGGCTTAGCTTCTAGTCAGGGCTCGCAAAGCTCTGATATTCAGTCCTCACACAGGAAGACTATTCTTAGACACACAAGAACAACACACTGATGTTGAAAGGGTCATCTAAATAAGGATGGCTTGTCCAGGGTTTAGTCCTTGGTCTGTCTGTGTATCTATCCAATACCCACAGACACTGATGTGAGCATAACTTGGAATATCTGACCCTAAACAAGTCATTTTTGTGAGCTCTCAGACAGAAATACTGAACGGTGTGGCATTTGTAGAGGATTAAAACCAAGTGAGAGGCTAATAAACAACAAAGGGAGAGCATGGAGAGCTCTGCCTGCTACCACAGAACATTTCTGCTCCTGCAATGGAGGTCCCAGCTGCTCACCAGGTGCCCAGAGAGCACAGGCTGATGGCACCAGAGAAAACATCACGAGGGCCAAATTTCTGCAGGTATTAACAAGTTCTGCACTGCTGATGTGAGGGGTACCGGCAGGGACCGGTAACATTCTCATTTAGCAGCATCTTAGAGCCTCTCCATAGGAAAATAAACAGACTCTTCAGTAAAATTACACCCAATTAAGCCACAGGTAAATAATTAAGCCACAGGCGCTATTCAGGCACTACCCAGTTGCCTGGATAAGTGAAGTGTCACTATTATGTATCATGCAGCTATAATCTAAGCTTGCTCTGTAGCATCTTAAAAATGAAACCCAGCACTTCCTTACACCTAACCAATGAGCTCTGGCTCTTTTGTTGAAATGAAGGGAAACAACAGGAGCCAATGTGGGGGGGTCTCTGCACTGGGCTTTGCAATGAGTCCCATGAATTCCTAGTTGCTGCTAGAAATAAAATTTAAAATAAAATAAATCTCATTTTAGGTCCTTGTTTGATCTCCAGGCTCCGAGGCTGTAAATCCAAGCTACGCCTCACTCATTTGATATGTGCAACTTCTCCATCACACGTCAGACTCCAAAGGAATTAATTACTACTTTTTCTGTGGATATTTTAATATTGTGGGTTCTATAATCAGATAGTTGGGCATCTTTTCCTTCTTTAAAGAAAAAAATAAATAGAAAATGCAGTCCCATCTCCCCTGTATTGACAGCAGCTGCAGCTGGAGTGCCCAAGGCCAAAAATCCTTTGTCTTGAATTTTAAAAAATGTCTGCTTTTCCCCCCCGTATCCCCACTGAAACATGTTTCACGCTTAGCTACTGGAAACATACCCTGCAGACATTTACATCACAGGCTTTGTTATTATAAGTTACAGTAAAAGACAAAAGGAACAAGGTTTTGTAACCAGAGGGCAAACTGCAACTGCTAATTTGTTAGGGGGTGACATTTCTGATACTGCCACTTTCATTGAGCTCCCATTCCATATTGTAATCTCATTACAGCATCCTATCACAGCACTCAATAGGAGAAATACACATCAACAGATCTATTACCTAAAACAAACAAAGATATTAGGAAACTTCCTGAGACTGCGTTGTATGTTGACTTCTGGTCAGCATTTCTAGAGAATTCCATTATATTTATGTCATCAAAAAATATAACATATAGACCTTCTGAGCAGGAACTCATACCAGCAGGAGTAACACAATTGTTTTTCCCCATTTTGTGATTTATCATCCATTCCATTACAAGCTACACGGACTGTCATTTTTCTTTAAATGCGTTTGATAAAAGAGCTCTCATTCCACCAGGTCAGGTATTATTATTCACCAACATTATGTACCAACCAGCACAAACATCAGCAGCAGCTGCAGAGCTGTTGTGGAAAACCAGAGTTAGTGCTGGGCTTTTCCCCGCCATACGCAGGACCCAAAACCACAGAGAGCAGCTAAGGGGAACTCAGAGCTGCCTTTGCCCATGCTGGCCCCTGTGCAGGGCTGTGGATGTCACTGCCAGTGCTTCTGTGCCGACCCCAGCTGAGCCCTGCCCCAGCCAATGTCCCAGGAACACAGCAGAGGTTTGAGCACAGCAGTGGAGGAGGCACTGCCATGAGCCCAGTATGAGGACAGATGTGCCCCTGCAGCCTGGCATTCCCCCCATAAGAGCAGGGATCTGCCCTTCGCATCCCCTGTGCCTGTGAGATCAGTTTGGTGGAGCTCAGCAAAGCCAGGAGGCTCTCCTTGCACTTCTTGCTGGTTCTCAGATGTTCCCATATCTGCTCTTAAACATCCAGGCTATTTTTACACAGATTCTCCCCCACCTCCTAATTGCCCGAACTTATTTTCCTGATGGTTTTCTGCAGAAGATGAATTTCAGGAGCTCAGTATCTTAGGCAATTTCAAGACATAATTAACACCACCATTCCCCTCATTAGCGAGTGGCCTACTTTCTCTTCAGCACTACCATCCCCCTAGATGTTTGGAAAAAGTCCTTATTATCCCCCATAACTCCCTGACTAACATTA